TGTTTACCTGCCCACAGGTGTGTTAGGGTCACTCAGGTGTGTTTACCTGCTCACAGGTGTGTGTTAGGGTCACTCAGGTGTGTTTTACCTGCTCACAGGTGTGTTTACCTGCCCACAGGTGTGTTAGGGTCACTCAGGTGTGTTTTACCTGCTCACAGGTGTGTTTACCTGCCCACAGGTGGTGTGCCGCCAGCTGGGCTGCGGGCCGGCTCTGGAGGCTCCGGGCCGGGCGCGGTTCGGGCGGGGCTCGGGACAGGTGTGGCTCAGTGACCTCACCTGTGTGGGCAGCGAGAGACACCTGGGGCAGTGCCCCGGGCCCACCTGGGGAAACAACACCTGCGGGCACGGAGAGGACGCGGGGGTCGTGTGTGCAGGTGAGTGTGGACAGGTGAGACACGGACAGGTGAGACACGGACAGGTGTGCATGGACAAGTCTGTGCAGGTATGGACAGGTGGTAACAGGTGAGCAGAGACAGGTGTGCACAGGTGTGGGTGTGGGGCACAGGTGTGCTGTGAGGTGTCCGTTACCTGCCCTCACCTGTGCCTTACTTGTCCCTCACCTGCCCATTCCCTCACCTGTCCCATCCCTCACCTGTCCATTCTCTCACCTGTCCCATCCCTCACCTGTTCTATTCCCTCACCTGTCCATCCCTCACCTGCAGCCCCTCCTCCACACCGTCACCTGTCCATCTCTCACCTGTCCATCCCTCACCTGTCCCATCCCTCACCTGTCCCATCTCTCACCTGCAGCTCCTCTCTCCATTCCCTCACCTGTCCATCCCTCACCTGTCCCCCCGGAGCCCTCGGAGCCGCTGCAGGTGCGCCTGGCGGACGGGCCGCACAGGTGCGCGGGCCGCGTGGAGGTGTCACACCTGGGCAGGTGGGGCACGGTGTGCGATGACACCTGGGACCTGAGCGCCGCCCGCGTCACCTGCCGCCACCTGGGCTGCGGCCCCGCCCTGAGCGCACCTGGGCGCGCGCGCTTCGGGCCCGGCCGCGGCCCCGTGTGGCTGGACCAGGTGCGCTGCACAGGTGAGGAGCTCACCTTGGACAGGTGCGAACGGCCGGGCTGGGGAGAGCACGACTGCGACCACAGGGAGGACGCGGGGGTGGTGTGTGCAGGTAAGGACAGGTGAGGGGACAGGTGAGGGGGGGACAGGTGAGGGGAGGGGACAGGTGAGTGGGGGACAGGTGAGGGGAGAGGTGCGTGCAGGTGACGGGGGACAGGTGAGCACAGAGGGGACAGGTGAGGGGGGTTCAGGTGTGTTTAGGGGGAGAACAGGTGAGGACTTTGAGGCTCAGGTGTGGTTGGGGGACTCAGGTAAGGGTGGGGGAGCTCAGGTGTGTTTGGGGGCCCTCAGGTGAGGGTGGTATCGGCCAGGTGGGTTCTGAAACTGCTCAGGTGTGCTCAGGTAACAGGTGGGCTCTGCAGTGCCCAAGGTGGGTACCCAGGTGTTCCCAGGTGCACCCAGGTGTGCCCAGGTGCACCCAGATGAACTCAGGTGTGCCCAGGTGTACCCGGGTGCGCTCAGGTGTACCTAGATGCATCCAGGTGTACCCAGGTGTGCCTCACCCTCCCCTCCCCCGCAGGTGCCAACCCCCCCCAGGTGCGGCTGCAGGGCGGCCCCGGGCCCTGCTCGGGCCAGGTGCAGGTGCTGCTGAACCACACCTGGCTGCAGGTGTGCGGCCTCACCTGGGGGCTGCCCGAGGCTCAGGTGCTGTGCAGGCAGCTGGGCTGCGGCCCC